AAAAACCTGGGCCTTTGTAGCTGCGCATTTATTTCATTTATTTGTTATTTATTCATAATCATTGAATCGATCGGTCGAAGAATAAACCACGAAAATCTCTTCCCTTCATTTGGACATCACAGCCTCCATCACGGTGTAAAACATTGTTCCTTTTGTAGACCTGTATATAAATTCAATAGGACACTTTATTGACTCCACTGAAAATATACAATTTTCAATGTTTTTCCTTCCTCTCCTCTGTTCTTCGCAGGTTCCTTTCTGCTTACATTCTTTATGGTTAATATTTTGCTTTCAATTTGCTTCTACCCAGCAGTTTATATATCTTTATATTCATTATTTCCCTTTCAGAACACCGTTCTTCCCATTAAATCTCTATTTCCTGAAATTCATTCTATGGTATGGCCACAAAGAGGAAAAACAACGACTTTCTAATTTTAAAGTTTGCAACTTGCAGCATCTTTAATTTTTTATTTAAAATTATTAGAAGTATAAAGGGTTTTCTTGTTTTTGGAAGGTGGGTGGTGTCAATTCTGGCTTCGGGTTGCTTTTGGGGGGCGAATATGGGGTGTGAAAAGATGAGGGCTTTAATTTTTGTAACTTTTGGTGCATTTTTTTTTTTTCAATTCTTTTCAGGCTTTTGAAGTGCGCTAATTGAAGGAGAGGGGAGGGGAATGGAAGAACCAGGGCAGATCAAAAGGGCTTTTATTGACGCCTCAGCTGGTGCGATTTCTGGTGCTGTTTCAAGAACTGTTACATCGCCCCTTGATGTCATAAAAATCAGATTTCAGGTTAGATAATGGTGGAAAAACTTGTAATTAAAAAATATTTTGTTGAATGTCACTGTTGTTTTGTTATGAATATACTGGGTATGTTGTTGTTGTTGTTGTTGTTGTTGTCACTGTTGTTTTGTGCAAATACCTTGTATCTGGGTGCTTAATTATGCTGTTGGTGTTATGTTTTGGCTTGGATTTTGTTTTGTTCTGAAAATTTTATTCTTGCTGTTTCAGTCAAAGTTTCAGCTATGCACATATTCTTTGAGTATTGTGGTTACAGGGAGTAATCTGTAAGTACTTCAAAAAGTGATTGTCTGTTTTTGGCTTAGAAAAAAGACGGAACTTTTATGTTTTCAAATGATAGCTTCCACTTCTATTTCTACATATTTCGATCTGAATTTCAGGAGGACAAGTGTTTCAGATTCATGATTCTGCTTTTGGTTTTAACTTTTACACGAAGATAATCAATTTACCACTGAATTCGCTGCACTTGAGCAAATTCGTTCAATTTTTATCCACCTCCTTGATTTTCAAATTTCTTTTCCTACTACAATGTTTCCCATCTTTTAGTAGCATCATTTCCCCCCACCTCAAATACGTATAACTGATAATGCAGTCATATTGTAGGTTCAATTGGAACCCACAACACAATGGGCGTTGTTAAGAAGAGATGTGTATTGTCCATCAAAATATACAAGCATGCTGCAAGCATCGAAGGACATACTTAGGGAGGAAGGCTTACCGGTAATGGTTATTAATTAGTCTAATGTCATTGTGTTTTTTGCTTGATTATTGTGGTGAACTTGAATTCGCGATCTCGCGTTAAGAAAAACTATCTACTGGACATTCTTCTCTTAAAAGTTTGTCCCTTATGTCTGTAGTGAGGAGTCCCCATGTATGACTAAACTTATTGAGTTTCAATCCTAATATGAGGTCATGATTGACATATTTTGTCAATTTGCTAGTTGGGGTTAGTTATGTACTTTTTGTTTCTGTAAAATAGAAGTACATGTTTGAATGTATGCCTTTGTTCCAATGTTGGGTAGGTATCAGTGGCTTCTAGCATAATTATGCAGTCAGCATATTTGAAGTTTGTTGTTGGTAAGTGCTATTGGGACATTATGACAAAAATATCCTTTGGCATGGAATTATGAAAGTTCATGACTCAAAACACCAATGTAAGGATTAAAGAACATGTACAGGATTCAAAGTTCAAACAGATAAATCTGATGAATCTCAGCACCTTATTAGCTATGTTTGCTTCTAACTGTAAATATCTCAAATCTCATTTAGTTCCTGTTTGCCTTTATTCTAACTTTTTTTTGGTTCTTTTTCGGTTTGGGACAGGGATTTTGGAGGGGCAATGTCCCAGCCCTTCTTATGGTTATGCCATACACCGCAATACAGTTTACAGTGTTGCACAAATTGAAGACATTAGTTTCTGGTTCTTCCAAGTCAGGTTTGCAATAGAATGTTTTCTGTCCTCCACATGCACAACGTGTTCATGTATATTGATATGTCTCTTTCCTGTTGACCAATAATGTTGTCACACTACATTTACTTCGAACGTGCATTTGCCTTTGATTTCCTATTTCCTGAGTCCTCACTGACAAAATGTGTGCGTCATATGACCATATACATATTTATGTCTTTTCATTTGTTTGTCCCGGGACTTAATTAGCACTTCCTAATACTGCACTGGAAAAGGTTTCTTTTATTTCTTAGACTTTTACAAGTTTTCAATTCTTGATATATCTACACACTTAAATTTTGCTTTTTCTAGTGAACTGCTGCGATTTGTGTGTTTGGAAATAAATTAGGTTCTCTTACAAATGTTGATTGCATTTGTGCGCTCAAATTTTGAAATTTCGTGTATCCTTGTTTGGCCATTTGCAGAAGACCATATCAATTTAAGTCCGTACCTTTCATATATTAGTGGGGCGCTAGCTGGATGTGCTGCCACCATTGGATCATATCCTTTTGATCTTTTAAGAACAATCTTAGCTTCACAAGGGGAACCAAAGGTACTTTTTGCATTGTTCTGGCAACTAATATCGTTTAGCACTCGCTGTATCCAAAAAACTAAAAAGATGAAATTTTTTAGATCCATCTGAAACTGTAAAATGTAAGAGTTGTGAGTGTTATGCCATTATTCTTACCTGGAGTTACCTAGTACCTAGTAAGTCACAATAATGGGGAACATCTTAAAAGTGGGTGGCATGTATGTTCTTGGTCAGGTTTATCCAAATATGAGGTCTGCATTAGTCCATATTCTTGAAACACGTGGATTTCGAGGGTTGTACGCTGGATTGACACCTACGCTTGTCGAGATTGTACCTTATGCCGGATTACAGTTCGGAACCTATGATACGTTTAAACGCTGGACAATGGTCTCTCTCTCTCTCTCTCTCTCTCTCTCTCTCACCCATGCACACCCTCATGTTGACTGTTGAGAAATCCATGTTCTTGGAGGAATAATATTTTTATTTTTTATTTTTTAATTTGATGGCAGGCATGGAATCAGTATAAATATCCATATGCTAGCCAAGATGATGAAGCCCTCTCGAGCTTCCAGCTTTTTGCATGTGGGTTAGCTGCAGGGACATGTGCTAAAGCTGTATGCCATCCACTCGATGTGGTTAAAAAGAGGTTTCAGGTATTTTTTCGGGCTTCGGCTGCATAAATATTAATATGGTAGGGCACGAGCATTCAGGCTGTGTTTGGTAAAGCTAGCTGATAGCGGATAAGCTACCTTATAGCTTATATGTAATTTTCGAGCTTATAGCTTATGACTTATACATGAAAAGCTAGCTTATATGATAAAAGTGTTTGGTAAAATTAGCTGATAAGCTAGCTGAAATAAAAATTTCAACTAATTTATTTGAAAAGCTACCTAAAGAAACTTATGAGACAAGCTCGAGCTTTTTTAAAAAAGCTAGTCCTACCAAACGAGGCTTATTTGAATACAAGAAACTTATAAGCTAACCAAATAAGCTATAAGCTAGCTTATTTGGCTACCAAACATAGCCTCAATTGCTGTAGCTGAACAAGTATATTTCTAATGTTCTTTAATTTAGCCAAACCTCAACTGTTGTATTTCTAATTATCTCTAATCCCTTTTTTTATTAATTAATTAATTAATTCACTTGTAGGTGGAAGGATTGCAACGGGACCCACGTTATGGGGCCAGAGTAGAGCAGCAAGCTTATAGAAACATGTATGATGGGCTTCGACAGATTTTGTATGCAGAAGGATTGGCGGGTCTTTATAAGGGCATTGTGCCATCAATCGTGAAAGCTGCGCCAGCTGGTGCTGTAACATTTGTTGCTTATGAATTCACGTCCGACTGGTTGGAGTCGACTTTGACTTAAGCTTTTTTATCGT